GCTGCCTTCGACACCTTGCCAACGGGGACATCGACGATGGGACCCGCATCAAGGCGATCGACTCGATCGACCCATCGGTTATGACATTGCTAGCGCACAGGTACGATGACGTGCACATGACATACAGCAATGCCAACCGGAAGGTTGTGTCGAAATTCCTTCATGCGGCAATCAACACGCAGCTGTTGGCCCAACGGATCAGGTACGCTCTCCCAGCTATCGGGAGGGTTGAGCCCTATGTGAAAGGTGAACCGGTTGATCCTGTGCTGTTTGGCTGGCCCACATGCTTGAAGCTGGCCAAAGCACTCCACGAGTACGCTGCGATGGAGGAGAAGCCCGACTGGTCCCACGACCAGGAGGGCGACGAAATCGACGCCGACGTGGCCGCCTGGATGAAAGTGGCTGAGGACGAGTCCTACAACGCCATAACCATCGACATGCGGGGGGCCAAGGTCGACGAATCCGAGATCGTTCTCGAGGCCGTCGACAAAGGAGAAGAGAACTCCGACGACGAGCTTGACCGCGTCGAGATCGCCATGTCCCAGTACATTGACAGCACGGCGGAGAAGCACGGGTTGTCCACTGTCCCCGACGATGAGGACAAGGACAAGTGGCTCTTGCTGGGCGATGACACCCATGACTTTGGATGGGATGCAACGAATCTGCCCCCAGGAGTGCACCGTGCTGCGCCGGAAGGCCAGTCGATCATCATCGCGGAAGGAGACTTGTTCGATCAGGAAACGGTGGTGTCATTGGAACTGGTGTCAGAAGCTGATGATTCCGAGGCGGCAGGGATGAGTTCCATGATCACCGCGGAGTCGGTCGCTTTTGAGTCCGTGACGGAGGGCGCCAGCACATCCAAGCAACCGCCAACCCCGCCGCCGTCAAGGCGCGGAGCTGCTGCCAAGAGCGCTGTGGGGGAACCCCAGTCGACTGGTTTCATTGAGATTGGAGACGAGTCGGACCCCACGGCTGCAGGCTCGACCGACAAGCCCCAGGTGAAGGCGATGCCGAGGATTGCGAAGGCCAAGGTGCCGCCAGGCAACGCCGAGGGGGAACCCCGGTCGAAAAAGCAGAAAGACCCTAAGCAAGAGAAGATCTTCTGGGAAGACTGGGCGAGGACCCGGAAGATCAATACCAAGGTCCCGGCCGAGGAGCAGAGCGAGTGGCTCGAGGTCGAGGACATGGGGCACGTCCCGAAGGTCAACATGGACCGAGACTACCGACTGGTAGCAATTTCGAAGAAAATGTCCTATTTCCTCCAGGGAGGGGCATTCAAGGACGGCAAGCCCCACCCGCCGTTTCGCGGAATTGACCTGTCGGTGGAATTCGATGCGCTGGTCAGGCATCTGAATGACCGGATCGCCAACGTCATGCCTTGGGAGGTGATGATCTGCATCCGGAACAATAACACCCGCAGATTCCGCGTGATGGTTGGGCCCCCTCCATTGGGGGAAGCATCCTGGAAAGGATTGCCGTATCAGGCTTTGCGGGTGAGGGCCGTGCAAGGACACCACAACGAGCTCACAAGGAAATACACTGAGCAGGCGATCCTGACAAATTTGTATTCCTTTGACGAGGAGTTCACCGCGGCAAAGTACTTGGACGGGCAATACCCGAGGGCGGTGCGGCATCCCGAACTTACTGACCTGTGGCACCGAGGCTTTCCGGCTGTCCTTTACCACACCTGTGACCTCAGGTCGGCCGAGAGTATCCTCAAGTTCGGCCTGGTCCCGGGGGGCTATCCGAAGTCGACAGGCAGAGCCCACGTCTACTTCAACCCCACGCCACCCTGGGAGGCGCAGATGAGGAAGCTGGCAGGAACGCGAGCCGGAAGGCCCGTCACGATTGCTTTTGATACTGAGCTCATGATGCAAGACGGCATTCGACTCTTCACGAGCGATGAGGCGTTTATGTCTGCAGATTGGGTTGGAAATGCCTATATCATTTACGCTTTCCATACCCGCAAGAATGAGTTCCTCTACTTCAATCGTGCGTACCCTGAGCTTCGCAAAAGGTATCGCGAGGCGCTGACAACCGAGCTTGCGCCTGGGCCTCAGGACGTCAATCCGAACTTCTTCAGAAGTGAAAACACCCTGACCGCAGAGAAGGCCTGGAGGCATTGGCGGACCGTCGTTGAGGGGACGAAGAACGGCAAATTGCTTCCGGGTTCCGTGACCGAGATTGAGACGATCGATGAGCTCGCTCCCCGGAAGGGGAAGTCGAATGAGAGACCTGCAGGCCCGACATATCAGGTTGCGCCTGCAACCCTTCGGCGGGTGCCCGAGCTCTCCAGGGGAGAGAAAGGGTATGGTCGCGGCTGGAACAACCTCCGGAACCGCTACCAGAGTGAGCCACGTTGGGAGGACCTCCTCTTCACGTGAAGATTCCGGTCGTAAAATGCTGGAACAGGAGGTGCAACAACCAACAGATCGACGGCTACCTGTTGTGTCAGGAGTGCCGGTCAGACATGGTGGCTTGGACGGACGCACGCATTGCCACTGAGGTGGTACGCCTCGAGCACACAGCATCCCTCCAGGGTATGGTTTTCTACCTGGAGGATTTGCAAGGTGGCGGAGGGAAGTGGATCCGTTCCAAGCATCACTTCAAGGAAGGCGACAAGCGGGGAGGAATCTCCGTCGAAGCGTCACTCAGGAAGACGGCAAAGACGCATCTGACCAAGGCGTTGGCGATGGGGTGCGAGAAGGTATCCGACCGGCTCTCGGTCGACCCATTCTACGCATACAACTGCGCCACGCAAGGGCTAACCCCCGAGAGCCTTGACTTCCTTGGCCGGATTGCCCGAGCGGTTGTTGCTGACCCAGGCCGTACCAGGGAGGAACGCGAGCGAGGCGGGTCCCAGAACACCGGCACGAAGTTGGTGTTCATCCCCAACCTCAACAAGCGCGATCCCCACGAGTTGAACGTTTCCACGGAGGCTTTCATTGCGCACCATGCGAGGTTTTACAGCATCATGCAGTTTGCGGTTATGTGTGCCTATCGTTTCATTCCGGGTAAGCAGGTGCCAATTATCATCGGGCACAGCGGATCATACGTCCCGGAAGGGAACGTCGAAAGGATTTTGGAGGTCATGACCAGTTTCATTCGTGCCTCCTGGATCAAGTTCGACTCCCAGGGCACCATCTGCACCGGTGAACTCGAAATCCCGCAGTTTTCCTCCGGCCGGACGCGAACCTACCCTGTTGAGGCGAGGAACACCCAGTGGAGGGCGATCACCCGGTCCATCCGCCCCGAGCCCTACACCAAGGGCAAGGGCAAAGGCAAGAACACGGGGCGCCAGGACTGGAGCTCTTGGTACGGGTGGTCCTCTGGATGGCATCAATGGCGTCAGGGCCCGTGGGGATGGTGAGCACCCGCGTCAATCACAAAAGTTTGCTTATGTTGCGGTAACCATTTCAATTTCATTGGTGATGTCATGTTCAAAACTATTATCTTTCATCCATTGATGCCGCAACATTTGCAGCGCCAAGTTTGCACGCCCGGCGGAAGCTGCGGCCGTAGGTCAATCCACGGCCGCCACCGCCGGCTGTCATTTCAGTTTTGCCCAGCGGAAGCTGTGGTCGTGAGATCATCTCCGCTGATGGCAACAGTATGAATTCAGTTTCAAGCATTCACATGAAAATCACATGTGTTTTGCCCGACGGAAGTCGTGGTCGGCCGATTCAAATGGCACGCTCCTGCAAAAGTCCAAATGCATCGCAGTTGCAGCGGTCATTAATGCAAGAGGCCTCATATCACCATGGCTTGCCACCTATCCCACTGAGGCTCTACGTCTTCACTGTTTCGACCTCAGAGGACTTTGCTTCAGGCATGGGGGGGGAAACATGTACAAAGTACTGTTCTCACCAACGCACCTCTGCAAAGCGGGGGGTGTTGATAGATAATGGCATACCGACATAATATTGGCTCAAGTAAAACAAGCTGCTGCCCGTGCTGACTTTTAGGTAGATCCCACCTTTCAACACCTACATACCTACATACCTACATACCTACATACCTACATACCTACATACCTACATACCTACATACCTACATACCTACATACCTACATACCTACATACCTACATACCTACATACCTACATACCTACATACCTACATACCTATACATACCTACATACCTACATACCTACATACCTACATACCTATACATACCTACATACCTACATACCTACATACCTACATACCTACATACCTACATACCTACATACCTACATACCTACATACCTACATACCTACATACCTACATACCTACATACCTACATACCTACATACCTACATACCTACATACCTACATACCTACATACCTGCACATACCTACATACCTACATACCTACATACCTACACATACCTTACATACCTACATACCTACATTACATACCTACCTACATACCTACATACCTACATACCTACATACCTACATACCTACATACCTACATACCTACATACCTACATACCTACATACCTACATACCTACATACCTACATACATACACATACACATACACATACACATACATACATACACATACACACATACATACATATATATACATATATATCTATGTATATATATATATAGACACATCTATATTACCTATGCACAAAGTATGTCATGTATGAGGCATGGCATTTGACTTGTTCATTGCACACTCAGAGCTCGTTGCCTTGTTTCTGGTGTAAAGCTGTACCCAAAATAGTCCAGGCACTTTGCTGCACGAGCTTTGTTTCGAAGGCCTCCCGCAGCGAGGGTCTGAGGGTTGGTCCATGGCATTTAGAAGTTTCCAGCAACCTTTTTTGGTTGGCCTGAGCTGTTGGGTTTACATGATTTCGTCCGTTTCCAGCAGGCCACCAACTTAGAGTTCGGATTTTGCCAGGGTTTCCCACGAAACTCCAGGTTTCATGGGCACCAGAGCCATGTTTGCCCCATTGAGAGGGGCAGTCCGGTTGAGCTCCTTTTGGGCCGGGATCCCGGCGGCCAG